TTTAAAACTAAAATCCTCAAAAATACTTTGTGATACAATTTAATTCAAAAACGAATGTTACAGATCTTTGAATGTATTATTTTGATGGAAAATTAATAGCTTTTTATAACTTTTTATCACCTTTATAGCACCTTTTTAGCACCTTTTTAGCCATTTTTTAGTAACTTTTATAGTGACTTTAAGACTGGTTTTTGTCACCTAAAAGTCAATGCTTTATTAACAACTAATTTGCAAACCATTCAAACCATTCAATCGAGAATCGCATTCAAATCAATGACCAAAAAATTCATTCACTATTTAAAGAAAATTAATGAAAGAGTGTTTGTTATGAACACCAGAGGCCGGGCGTTGGGTCGGTCTCAGCACTCCCTATGCGTTGGCAACACATGTGTGTCAATAGTATGCGCTTACAGTTCACACTCGCTATACGACACACATTCACATTCAATAAGCCATCAAATGGGGAAACATTGCAAATTAAAGCACAAAAATCAGTATTAAAACACACATTAAATTGCATAATGATAAACAGTGAATGAGCTAGATTATAAATGGATTAGTGTGTGTTGAGTATGTATGGGTGTGTGAGTGGAGTGCATGGGTGGGCGTGAATGGCGTGAATGTGTTGCCCGGTATCTAATGACATAACGTCTCACTCTATGAGCGGTTGAGTGAATCGTTTGTCTCACTTCTCTGTGACTTGTATTGAGTGAACAGCGAATGCATTGAATGTGTGATCATTTGATCGATTTGTCAATTTGTGAACCAAACCATTCATTCAGACAACACATCCACTCCTTATATATACAGTATATCAGTGTTTACGGCAATCGTTGGCCCTTTAAATCGCGACCAAACACTTCACTCATCACTCGTTTGAAAGGTTTGTATCATTTCTTTGGGACACAAATACCACTCTCTCTGTGTGTTTGAAGTGACAAATTGTTTGCAAACATTGATTGCATTTTTTTCTTGTATACAATTTACTAATGAATTGTCTGTTGTTTTCATTTCAGGCATAAATGGTTTCAACATTTATTTAACCATTGATTACAAGACATCGAAGAAGTATCTTCTCATCGGATCAAATCATAAGATAAACAAATCTCGATATAAAGTGTGTGAATACGAGCCGTGAAAATGCCTGCCGTGAGAGGGGATGGGATGAGAGGGTTAGCCGTCTTCATATCGGACATCAGGAACTGTAAGTCTTTGTGTCTGTCGTTTAATCCGTGGATGATATCGACGATGACATCCATTGATCCACTCATGCCTTCAAATACTTTAAACATTTCGCTCTCAAATAGCTGTCAAACAATTGAGATCTAGAGATAACATATCATCTCATGTTTTTAGGTGTCATTTGAGTATATAATTAGCTCTTATTCTTGTAATTAATATAATTTAAGGTTTAATTTATTTGTAAATTATTTGCAATTAATGTTTTATTAGTGAAATAATTTATTTCTAATATAAGCCGAAATATATTGAAAACATTGAAAAAGGGGTGTATTTTATGTGAAATACGAGCGAATGAATGGATAAAGCGATTAATCTTATTGTATGAATGAATTGATTGAATATAAAGACTAATTGTTTTGCGTTTTGATTGAAGGCAAGAGCAAAGAGGCAGAGATTAAGAGAATAAACAAAGAATTGGCGAATATTAGGAACAAATTCAAAGGCGATAAGACATTAGACGGTTACCAGAAGAAGAAGTATGTCTGCAAACTGTTGTTCATCTTTCTGTTGGGACACGACATCGACTTCGGACACATGGAGGCCGTCAACCTCTTGAGCTCTAATAAATATTCAGAAAAACAAATCGTGAGATTCAATATAAAAAGCGCATAAAACATGAATATAACTAACATTTTGTGTTGCATTTTAGGGCTATTTGTTTATATCGGTTCTGATGAACGCCAACAATGATTTAATGAAATTAATCATCCAATCGATCAAAAACGACTTGTCCTCAAGAAACCCGATTCACGTCAATCTCGCGCTTCAATGCATTGCAAACATTGGGAGCCGAGAAATGGCCGAAACGTTTGGCAATGAGATTCCGAAACTCTTGGTCTCCGGGTATGCAATCGTTTGTTGAATATTTTACAACTAAATTAATTTTTGGTTATTTTAATATCTATTAGCGAAACAATTGATGTCGTGAAGCAAAGCGCGGCCCTCTGTCTTCTTCGTCTATATAGAGCTCTTCCCGATCTGACACCAAGTGGTGAATGGACTTCAAGAATAATACATTTACTTAATGATCAGCATATGGTATGAAATGATGAATGATATGTTTGATATTGAAATTAATACGAATGACACGGTATAGGGTGTGGTCACAGCAGCTGTTAGTGTAATCAATTCGTTGGTCAACCGAAGTCCGGATGAGTACAAGGGATGCGTATCGCTGGCGGTGTCGCGACTGAGCCGTATAGTGACGGCGTCGTACACGGATCTGCAGGACTACACGTATTACTTCGTGCCCGCGCCGTGGCTTTCGGTCAAACTGTTGCGATTACTGCAGAACTATCCGCCGCCGGACGACGCGGGCGTCAGGGGTCGGCTCAACGAGTGCTTAGAGACGATACTAAACAAAGCTCAGGAGCCGCCGAAGTCTAAGAAAGTGCAACATTCAAACGCCAAGAACGCCATATTATTCGAGGCGATCAGTCTTATCATACATATGGACAGCGAACCGAACCTATTAGTGCGCGCCTGCAACCAATTGGGTCAGTTCCTGCAGCACAGGGAAACCAATCTCAGATACCTGGCCCTCGAGAGTATGTGTCTGTTGGCCACATCCGAGTTCTCTCACGACGCCGTTAAGAAACATCAGGACACTGTCATCAATGCACTCAAGGTTTGCACTTTACTTCTTCTCCGATCTTTGTTTGCTATGATTTTTATTTATATTATTTTATTTTTTAATTAATAGACCGAACGAGACGTTAGTGTTAGACAGCGAGCCGTCGATCTACTGTACGCGATGTGCGACAAATCCAACTCCGAAGAGATTGTGAGCGAAATGTTGTCTTATTTAGAGACCGCTGACTATTCAATACGCGAAGAGATGGTAAACATTGTTTAATTTATATAATGTTTGAATGAATATTAACCATAAAATTGGGCAAAAGGTGCTGAAAGTGGCCATTTTGGCGGAGAAGTACGCGTCCGACTATACCTGGTATGTGGACGTTATCCTAAACTTGATTAGAATCGCTGGTGACTAC